TTTTGATCTTTGCTAATTCATCTGAGGGATATTTGCGTCTCTACTGACCTGAGCTGCCTCCAACGTCCATGCTCTTCAGGTTTTTGGCCTCCAGGATGACCACGGTCAGTTTGCTGGCCGTGGGAACGTAACGCAGTGAGAAGCAAATCTCTCCCAAGTTTTCTTCCTACAGGAAACAAAAGTCACACTACAATATCAGAACCAGCTTTGTTGCCAAGTAAATCTCCATATAAAGAATTTGCTGTGTCAATTGAAAAGTTAATTTTTCAGTTTTCTAGATTAGAAGTGAAAATGAAAGAATAAATTTGAGAATGAGGAGAAATTATAGCATTGTTGTACAATATAAACATAAACATATAGTATTGTGTCTTTAAATTAAATAGATTCTACCAGAAATGTTCACAGACTGGCTTGAGGCCATCATTTAGAAAGATGATGTTCAGAAATTATGTAAATGGGACACACAGAGACACACAACCACACGCTTACATCCACTCCAGGGACGATTTGGAGTCCAAAATTACACTAAAAGGTTTGTTTCTGAGAGAACTACAGGGATAGACGGTGGTGTAGTTAGCATCAACGCCTCACAGCAGGAGGGTTCTGGGTTCTAGTCCCTGGGGAACCAGGGGGAACCAGGGGGGAACCAAGGGGGAACCAAAGGGGAACCAGTGGGAACCAGGACCTTTCTGTGTGGTGTGGAGTTTGCCAAACAGGAATTAGATGGAGTCTTCCAGACACTTTCTGTTTTGAAATAATCTTTTTCAATTTTTACTTTTCAACGCAAGTTCTTTCAAATTATTATTATTATTATTGAATTCAACAAGAGGGTTAAGAGTGTTCTGGGTTCAAGTCCCCGGGGAACCACGGGGGAACCAGGACCTTTCAGTGTGGGGTGGAGTTTGCCACACAGGAGTAAGATCGAGTCTAGAGATGGAGTCCTCCAGACACCTTCTGTTTTGAAATAATCTTTATCAATTTTTATTTTTCAATGCAAGTTCTTCCAAATTATTATTATTATTATTATTATTATTATTATTATTATTATTATTATTATTATTATTATATTATCATAATATTAAAAATATTATAATAATATTATAACATTACTATAATAATAATAATAATAATAATAATTGTTATTATTATTACTATTAGTATTATTATTATTATTTTATTCATATTATTTTTTTCATTATTATCATTATTAAATTCAACATTAAAGCTGTGGGTGTTGCCAGATGTAGCATTTATTTGAGGTGCCTGACAGCATCACTGTCATGTTCGGGGTTGTTCTGGTGTTTTCCCCTTTTTCTGTTTCCCTTCAGCAGTGTGTGACAGGGGGCGTGGCTGACTTCAGCTGGTGCTGCAGTCTGGACACCTGAACCGGATTGCGCAATCAAGACTGCAGTCTGAACACCTGAACCAGATTGCGCAATCAAGGTTGCAGTCTTAAGCCCGCTTGTCTCAGCACCACGCTGCCAGAGAATTTTCTATGTTGGGTCCTCAGGGTTCCAAGCTCCAAGCTCCAAGCTCCAAGCTCCAAGCTCCAAGCTCCAAGCTCCAAGCCGGCCAGTTTTCCTGTCTCGTCTGCCTAAGAGATTAAATCTTTGTTCGAACCTGCCACTTTGCCTCCGTCTCTGCGTTGGGGTCCACTAGCAAACCGTAACAGAATTCTCTGGCCAAATATGGACCCCGCAGAGGCAGAAAGACTGAAGCAGGTTTTTTTTGAGACGGAGGAGTTTAAACGTGCCATTTCCTCTCAAGGCGTGACTATGAAGCAACATGGGGTCGCTTTGGACGAAATCATGTCCACCCTTCAAAGCCTTTCTGTGGGCATGAATCAGCTCAGCGGCCGGTTGGATGATGTATCAGCTCGTCTGTCTACGCCGAGACCTACGGATCAAGCTCAAGCTCCACACTCAGACCAAGCATCCGGGACTTCGCTCCAGACCACCCACGCGGTGGTGTTTCCGTCTGCACAGCCCCGTGAGCCATTCATTCCCACACCTAGCAGGTACTCGGGAGAGTTAGGGTCGTGTAAGCAGTTCTTGCATCAATGTACGTTAGTATTTGACCAACAGCCGCTGACCTATTCGTCCGATAGGTCCAGAGTAGCCTTCGTTATGAGCCTTCTGTCTGGGAAAGCTTCCGCTTGGGCCGTAGCTTTAAGTAGCAATAATTCCCCTGTTTGTAACTCTATTGGCTCCTTTACTACAGAAATGCTCAGAGTTTTTGACCATCCTCTACAGGGGAAAGAGAGTAGTAGTCGGTTACTTTCTCTACGTCAGGGCACAGGTTCCGTTTCATCATATTCCATTGATTTTCGTATTTTAGCGGCTGAATGTGGGTGGGACGACAAGGCGTTACGGGGTATTTTCTTTAGGGGTCTTTCTGATGACGTTAAGGATCAGCTGGCAGCTAGGGATGAACCCGCTGATTTAGAAGAGTTGATTTCACTCTCTATTAAACTGGATAATCGCCTCAGAGAGAGACGCAGGGAAAGAGCAGGCTCAGTTAGATCCTTTGTCCCGACCCCTCCGCCCCGGCATGAGCTCCCGGATCCATCTACCGCCCCTCGTCCCGAGTCATCTACTCCCGGTGAGGAGCCCATGCAACTCGGGAGGATGAGTCTCACCCCGGAGGAGCGTCAGCGGCGCCAGCGTGAGGGCCTCTGTTTTTACTGTGGCCAGTCCAGCCACAGCCTGCGCTCTTGCCCGTTTCGACCAAAAGACAAGGCTCATCAGCTTCCGGAGGGGCGCTGGTGAGCCATATGCCTGTGGAACCCTCCGCCAAACGGATCATCCTCCGAGGTACTGTTGTGTTTAAGACTGTGACCCTGCCTGTTGAAGCATTAGTGGACTCGGGTTCTGATGAAAGTTTCATTGACTCTGAATTAGTAAGTCAAGCTAACATTCCCACTGAAGCCCTCTCTGAACCCAAGAAAGTTTTTGCCCTTGACGGTAGAGTGTTAGCTTGTGTTTCTCATCGGACTGTTCCAGTGTCCCTGCTGGTTTCTGGTAATCACTGTGAACTTATCAGTTTTTACATTTTGCACTCGTCATCATCCCTGGTATTGGGCCTCCCGTGGCTAAAACTTCATAATCCGCAGATAGACTGGTCTTCCCAATCGATCGTCAATTGGAGTTTGTTTTGTCATTCTCATTGTTTACACGCTGCAGCTCCGCCCAATGACTCTCCTCCGCCACCTCCTCCTAGGCCTATAGATTTGTCGCTAGTTCCACCTGAATATCATGACCTAAAGGAGGTTTTTTCCAAGAGCCGTGCCTCCTCCCTCCCACCTAATCGTCCCTATGACTGTCAAATTGATCTAATTCCTGGTTCTACTTTGCCATCCAGCAAATTGTATAACCTCTCCAAACCAGAAAGAGAGGCTATGGAGACCTACATTTCCGAGAGTCTAGCTGCTGGACTTATCCGCCCCTCTTCATCTCCCGTTGGGGCAGGGTTTTTTTTTGTTGAGAAAAGAGACAATACTTTGAGACCCTGCATAGACTACAGAGGACTAAATGATATAACTGTTAAAAACAAATACCCACTTCCTCTCATTGATTCAGCCTTCAACTCACTTCATCGTGCTACTGTTTTTACCAAACTCGATCTCCGTAATGCTTATCACCTGGTCAGGATCAAGAAGGGTGATGAGTGGAAAACAGCATTTAACACTCCCTTAGGTCATTTTGAATACCTGGTCATGCCATTTGGGTTAACTAATGCTCCTGCAGTTTTTCAATGTCTCATAAATGATGTTTTACGAGATATGTTAAACAGGTTTGTGTTTGTCTATTTGGACGACATTTTAATTTTTTCTAATGATTTAAAGGAACATATTCAACATGTGAGGCTAGTTTTGCAGCGGCTCTTGGAAAACAGACTTTTTGTTAAAGCCGAGAAGTGCAAATTTCATGTTTCCTCTGTTCCTTTTCTAGGATTTGTGGTGGAGAAGGGGCAAATCAAGGCGGATCCAGCTAAGATTAAAGCTGTCGCCGAGTGGCCCAAGCCCTCTTCCCGTAAAGAGTTGCAAAGATTCCTAGGTTTTGCCAATTTCTATCGCAGGTTTATTCGCAACTATAGTAAAGTTGCCGCTCCCCTCACGAGATTGACCTCTGTTAAGTCTGCATTTTCATGGACCCCTGAAGCTGACCATGCTTTTGTCAGATTAAAACATCTGTTTTGTTCTGCCCCAGTTCTTTGTCACCCTGATCCAGCTGCTCAGTTTGTGGTGGAAGTGGACGCGTCAGAGTCTGGAGTTGGAGCCGTTCTCTCCCAACGTTCAGCTTTGGATCAGAAACTGCATCCCTGTGCGTTCTTCTCACGGCAACTTTCTCCAGCGGAAAGCAACTATGACGTGGGGAATCGTGAACTTTTGGCAGTTGTTCTGGCACTGAAAGAGTGGAGGCACTGGTTGGAGGGGGCGACTCAACCTTTTCTTGTTTGGTCTGATCACAAGAATTTATCCTATCTCCGTTCTGCCCGCAGGTTGAATTCTCGCCAGGCTCGTTGGGCGCTCTTCCTGGGCCGGTTCAATTTCACGCTCACCTATCGTCCTGGATCACGGAACATCAAGCCGGATGCCTTGTCTCGCCAGTTTACCCCGCTTACCTCAACCGCTACTCCAGGAGACACTATTCTTCCCTCTTCATGTGTGGTGGGAGCGGCCACTTGGGAGGTTGAAAGGGGTGTCTTACAGGCTCAAGGTAACATTCCCACTCCCTCTGAGTGTCCGCCTGGGCTTCTTTTTGTGCCATCCACAGCCCGGTCAGCAGTCCTTCAATGGGGACATGCATCTAAGGTGGCGTGTCATCCTGGTTTTCACCGCACCCTCGCCCTGCTAAGACAACGATTCTGGTGGCCATCCATGTCCTCTGACACTAAGGCATTTGTCCTTGCCTGCTCCGTCTGTGCACGCAACAAGGCTTCTCATCGTGCTCCTGCTGGACTACTCAGGCCCCTTCCTATCCCGCATCGCCCTTGGTCCCACATTGCTGTGGATTTTGTGACTGGTCTCCCCCCGTCGGAAGGTAATGAGGTTATTTTGACTATTGTTGACCGTTTTTCCAAGTTGGTCCATTTCGTCCCCCTTCCAAAGCTCCCTTCAGCTTTCGAAACTGCTAATCTTTTGGTTCAGCATGTTTTTAAGCTTCATGGACTCCCTCAGGACATCGTCTCTGACAGAGGTCCTCAGTTTACCTCGCGGGTGTGGAAGGCTTTCTGCCAGGCGGTGGGGACCAGTGTCAGCTTGTCATCGGGATATCACCCACAAACTAACGGTCAGACGGAGCGAGCAAATCAGGATCTAGAGGCCTCTTTACGTTGCGTTGCAGCCAACCACCCAGCTTCCTGGTGCACTTACCTGTCTTGGGTGGAATATTCCCACAACACTTTAGTTTCTTCTGCTACAGGTATGTCACCCTTTATGGCATGTTACGGTTACCAACCTCCGCTTTTCCCCACCCAGGAGAAGGCTGTTGCAGTGCCTTCCATTCAGGGACACCTTAGGAGGGCTCGGCGCGTGTGGCATGAGGTCCGGGCAGCGCTTTCGCGTACTGCCACACGTAATCAGGCGCTGGCGGATCGCCATCGGGTGACTGCTCCGAACTACAGGCCTGGACAGAAGGTTTGGCTGTCCTCCCGGGACCTACCCCTACGGTGTGAGTCCAAGAAACTATCACCACGTTTCATTGGCCCCTTCGAAATCGAGCGAGTCATTAATCCCGCAGTTGTCAGGTTGAAATTACCCGCTTCTCTGTCCATACATCCGTCTTTTCACGTCTCACTTCTGAAACCTGTTTCCTCGAGCGCTCTCTCCCCTCCGTCCGACCCCCCTCCGCCCCCCCGGATTGTGGATGACCACCCTGCCTTCTCTGTGAGTCAGTTGTTGGATGTTCGTCGGCGGGGGCGTGGTCTGCAGTTCCTGGTGGATTGGGAGGGGTACGGACCTGAGGAGCGCTCCTGGGTACCACGCTCTTTCATTCTGGACCCTGGACTCATACGGGACTTCTATGTTCGTCATCCAGATAAGCCTGGAGGGTCGCCGGGTGGCGCCCTTTGAGGGGGGGGTACTGTCATGTTCGGGGTTGTTCTGGTGTTTCCCCTTTTTCTGTTTCCCTGCAGCAGTGTGTGACAGGGGGCGTGGCTGACTTCAGCTGGTGCTGCAGTCTGGACACCTGAACCGGATTGCGCAATCAAGACTGCAGTCTGAACACCTGAACCAGATTGCGCAATCAAGGTTGCAGTCTTAAGCCCGCTTGTCTCAGCACCACGCTGCCAGAGAATTTTCTATGTTGGGTCCTCAGGGTTCCAAGCTCCAAGCTCCAAGCTCCAAGCTCCAAGCTCCAAGCCGGCCAGTTTTCCTGTCTCGTCTGCCTAAGAGATTAAATCTTTGTTCGAACCTGCCACTTTGCCTCCGTCTCTGCGTTGGGGTCCACTAGCAAACCGTAACAATCACCACTCTGAGAGCATAAAGAAAGCTAATCCTATTCCACACCATCAGGAAATGTTCAGCGCCATAAATATAGATAAAATAAAACATAAAAACACCTCAAACTTGGCGGGCTCGGCCAGGTCCTGCCACTCCTCGATGACGTGGTTCCAGTCCACGTCGGAGAGCTGAAGCCGGAGCTCGCCGATGATTTCGTGCTTTGAGAATCGGTTGAAGTCGAAAACCTTCATTACGACCGTCGACTTCTGGAGGACCGCCTTAGTAAGCTGGACAGAAAATGTTTAGGTTAAAAGCTGTAAGATCTGTAAGAATATCATTTATTCATCAGGTTAATCGTCATTTTAAAAAGGTAAATCGTAAATGTACAGTGTCCTCCACAATTATTGGCAATTATTGTTTTAGATGTGGTTGAGGACTTCTAAAAATTGTCCTTTTTTTTAAAACAACACAGAATCCAAATGCAAAAAAATAGAAAAATCCACACATCTGCCTTACTTAAATAGTGTGTTCTTGTTTTTGCCATATTGACAAATGGTTAAGAAAATTAGGGCTCTGTGTCACGTCATATTTATTCCCCAGGGAAAACAGGAAGTCATGAATTACTAATTGCAAGTTCCTAGATACCCTGACCAACTTTAGCAACTACAGAAAAATATATTTAAACGAATTCAATTACATTTTTTAGTGGAATTGTTAGGGGTGGCAATAATTGTGGGACACATGATTTAACATTTTTTATTTTCTAAATGTGTGATTTTATTTTTACCACCAAAGTAATGCACTTGAATAAAAGGTTGTATTTTTCAGTTTTTTTGCATTTGGGTTCTATGTTGTTTTAAAAAATACAAGAATTTTTAGAAGTCCTCAACCACATCTTAAACAGGGGTGCCAATAAATGTGGAGGGAACTGTAGCTCCATTCCTGCTAACGCTAAAGTCCGAGCGACCATCCATTCCAGTGTTAGCATTGGGCTATAATTACTCACTTTAGCATAGTATGCTACAACTTAATCCATGTAAATTACATATTGTGTTATTCCTTTTTAGATTTATATTATTCCCTTCATAATTATACTTTTGTGTTAAACTCTCTGGCTTTCCTACTCCTCCTCCTCTCTTTGTTACAGTAGATACTCGTCTTTAAGGTCAACATGAATTAGGACCTGGCCTGTTCAAGGCCCATAGGAGAACTAAAAGCCTAAATCGAGGCTCTTTGCTAACTGAGATCCTCCGGGAGCTTTTGTCTGTTAGAGCCCAGCTGGTTTACTCTGCTGGTGACCAATAAAAGTCACATTTGTACTCTTGATCTACTCTGATTATTCTCAGGCTCTAGCTAAAGAACCGGGCTAACACCAGAACAAAAAAAACAGATAAAGGCCTCCTTACCTGGAAGGTGAATTGCTCGTTGAAGACGGGGTTCAGCGTGCTCTTGAAAACTTTGGTCTCGTACGTTTTGGACTTCTCTGGGAGGATGTAGATCTTCACGTACGGGTCGGAGCTCCTCCCCATGTCCATGGCTTTCAGGTTGTTGGCTTGCTTGATTCCCACTATGAGCTACAAAGAGCCAAACAAAAGAAAAATGGGACCTGGCTTCTATTGGGAATAAACTTGGTGAAATTGGGCCAAGAACACCATGAAAAATAGTCAGTCTAACTGACGTCGTTTTGGTCTGATATATTTACCACATTGGGTTTGGCCTATGGCTGCACCATTGCTCTTAATTCCTTCTTCTGCAATATTTGGTGTCCTTCCCACTACCCACTTGCCCAAGATGTTAAAAAGTGTCGTTTCATTCACAACCCATCCGGCCCGTAAATTGATTTTGATTGATTGGAAACTTGCCCATCCTCCTTCACATATCCACTGGATCCGGGAGGTGCTTTACAACCTGAAGCTTGAGAAACTCAGATTTTCACTTAAAGGTTCTGTAAAATTATTCAATTCCACCTGGGACCCTTTTCTACGACACACAGAATCCCTTAATTATAACTTCGAAGAACTGGGGGTTGTGTAGGAGAGAGGGTGTTTTATTTATTTATTTTATATATATATTATTTTATTTTATTATTATTATTTTTTTCCTTCTGATTTTCTATTTTATTTTATTATTTTTATTGATTGTTTATTTTTGCTTATTTTTCCCCAAAGAGTGAGCGTGTGTATGTGTGTGAATG